GTAGGTAACTAACTGTTTTTCTCTTGCTGCTTTTAATATTCTCTCTTTGTCTTGAACCTTTTGCATTTTGATGATGATGTGTCTTGGTGTGGGCCTCTTGGGGTTCATCTTGTTTGGGACTCTCTGTGCTTCCTGGACTTGTATGTCTGTTTCCTTCACCAAGTTAGGAAAGTTTTCTGCCATTATTGTTTGAAACAGGTTTTCAATTTCTTATTCTCTCTCTTCTCCTTCTGGCACCCCCAAGATGCGAATGTTGGCACGCTTGAAATTGACCCAGAGGCTCCTTACACTATCCTCATTTTTTTGGATTCTTTTTTCTTTTTGCTGTTCTGATTGGGCGTTTTTTGCTTCCTTAGATTCCAAATCGATGGTTTGCTTCTTGGACTTACGTACTCTACTACTGAATCTGTGTAAATTATTCTTTATTTCAGTTAATGCCTCCTTCATTTCTGACTGTGCATCCATCATTTCTGACTGGTCCTTTTGTATGCTCTTGAGGCCCTCACTAAGTTCGCTGAGGTTCTCACTAAGTTCATTGAGCATCCTTATAAGCAGTATTTTGAACTCAGCATCTGTTAGGTTGCTTATCTCCATTTTGCTTAGTTCTTTTCTTAGGGTTTTGTTCTGTTCTTTCATTTGGGACCTGTTTCTTTGTCTCCTCATTTTGGCTGCCTCCCTGTGTTTGTTTCAGTGTATTACTTAACGAGAGGTATGGGGCTATCTGAGACCAGATGCTGCTTGTTTGAAAGAATTTGGGAAAACCTGAAGCAGGATCCAAGACAGGCCAATCCTATGGTTAAGCAAGTGGCAACAGCTTGGGTGGGCCTGAAAGTTGGGTGGGCCTGAAAGTTGGGTGGGGTGGGGTGGGGTGAGGTGGGGTGGGGTGGGGTGAGGTGGGGTGGGGTGGGGTGAGGTGAGGTGGGGTGGGGTGGGGCGGGGCCTCAGGGAGTCACCAGGGTGGGGCTACCAGTGTGAGCCAGGTTGCTGGAGTCCCAGATATGGCTTCTGTCTGCCGCCCCCGGGAAGGGCTCACCAAAGGAACAAAGGCCTCTGACAGCACGTTTGTCCTGGAGAAAGCCCCCTCTTCAGCCCTCGCTCCAGTGCCAAACAACTCAGTTCTTCCCTGTATGTTTCTGGTGCCCCTCGAGCTTCCTCCCCTCGAAGCTTAGAGGGAGAGAGTCCGATAAGTCCGTGCGCGGGCCCTTTAAGGAGCTGCCTGGGGCTCCAGCTGCCTCAGCCTCCCTGAGCCTCAGTTCCCGCTGGTTTTTCCAGCCAGAAGTTATGGGGACTTCTCTTCCTGGCACTGGAACCCTGAGCAGGGCGCCTGGTGTGGGATGGGGACCCCTCAGTCCTCAGGGAGGACCTTCCCAGCCGAGGTGTCCTCTGATTTTTATCCGCCACATGTGGGTGTGGGACCAGCCCGTCTGTCTCTGCCCCTCCTACCAGTCTCGATGTGGCTGCTGCTTTAATTCCGTAGTTGTAGGACTTCCATTCAGCTTGATTTCAGGCGGTTTTGAATGATGGTTGTTCTGTAGTTATTTGTAACTTTGATGTGGTTGTCGGAGGATGCGATACCGCGTTTATCTATGCTGCTATCTTGACCAGAAGTCCCGTCATTTCATTTTTTAAAAATCAAGAAAACTAACAGTAAGCATCCTTATATTAAAAGATTAGACAGAATTTTCTGATGCTAGTGGTTTCCGGGGAAAACAAAAATTTCCACCTTCTCTGGCGCCCTCTTGTGCTTTGTGGCAGAACGTAATCAAGAGTGCTCATGCTTCCAGGAAACTGAATTTGGATTTATTTCCAGCATACAAACACAGAACACACACACACACACAACCTTACAGATTAAACTTTTTTCCCCCTCTCTGCATTTTACTCGCATCAGTGCTTATGTCAGGAATTGTAAAATGTTATGTCACCTGGGTTTTCCTAGTCCCACTAGGCTGTAATTAACCTTATCAGTTTGAATTTCCTTCAGCTTCTCTTCCTAGAGACTCACACAGCTTATAAAATGCACTTGTCTTTTGGAGGAAGTATGTATCTCTTGTGTTATCTGGCAAGACTGTTCTCATTGACACCTGTGCCCCCCAAGGCTCTGAATTCCTTGAGAAATTAAAGCAGCAGATTCTCTTGGGAAGAAGAAAACATAAGCACTCACTTTTCCTTTCTTTAAAAGGGCCCTGGAAGCAGTGCCGCTTGTTCTTCAATGTCTTGCAGAGCTTTATGCTTGTTCCCTGGGGAAATGGGCCTTTTCTTTCCAAGTGCCCCTGTGCACCACAGGACTCTTTCATGTGACCACTGGAAAGGAGCAGAGGCTCAGGAGGTCAATGCAAGTGGCAGATCCCACGTTGCCTTGAATCAGGTGTCCTACCCCTGGAGCGGGTAAGCAGGCTCAGATATTTCCAATTCTTAGTTAGACTTAAGCTGGAAACTGCATTATATTTCCATGAAACTGAATAATTTGTGGTAATATTAAAATGATTAACTGTAGTAGCTGACTTTCATTTAGCATTTAGTAAGAACTAAAGACATTGCTGAGTGCTTTGCACGCAGCCCTTTACTTAATTTTTACAAGTTTCCTAAGAAGTCAGTGTTATAATCCTCACCTTACAGATAAGGAAAATGAGGTTTAGGGAGGTTACCTGCTTTGAGAGACACTACAGCTTTGAGAGAATCGGTTTGCTGTAGTCGTTTGAGCCAGAAGAGAGCAGTTCCAATGTTGACTCCACCACTTTCTAACTAAGTGACTTTTGGTGAGCTGCTTAACCTCTCTGTGCCTCAGTTTTCTTATCTGTAATAACAATAATTCCTGCTTCATAAGGATGTTGCAGGTATTAAATGAGTTCATAAGTTCAAAGTGATTCATGGTACTTTGCATATATTAAGAGTTATATAAGTGCTTCTAAAAAATGAGAAGCTAAGCTCAGGATGCTTCAAGTCACTATATGGTCTCCCTAAGGTGAAGAGTATGTTTATTCTCCTTATGAATATTATTAGGATATGGAGTCTAATAACATGTCCTGCCATGGTGAATTTCTCCTTTGACTGTGTAGCAGAATCACCTGAAGAGCTTTGAACACCACTAATCCTGATTCAGTGGGTCTAGGGCAAGGCCCAGGCATCTTATTTTTCTAAAGCTTCAAGAGATGCCCATGTGTAGCCAGAATTGCAAGTCACTGCCATAGTACTTACGTGTTTACAAAGGTCTTTTCCATAATAAGATCATATTTATTCCATGCTTACTACATACCAGATCTAAGTGCTTTCATTAGGATCTTCTCCTTTAACCCTCCAACAAAAACTCCATGATTTAATTATCAATGGTACTTTACAGATGGGAAAGTCAAGGAACATAGAGTCTAAGGAATTTGCCCAAAGTCACTTAACTAGCTGGTGGCAGAGCCAGGATTTTAAACCAGGTGGACTGATATCATGGCCTATATACATAACTACCAACAAATACTGCCTTCACATGTGCTATCTAACATGAACTGTGCCATAAATCTGTACAGTATTGCTGGTTTTGCCATTACCCCCAATTTATAGATGAGGAGACTAAAACAAAGGACTTGACCAAATGTACACTAGTCAATATACCAGCTGAGGATTATACCTGGGTCTTATCATTTAAAGTTCTATGCTCTCCCTATATTGTTGCAGAGAATTTCAAATAACCAAGTATGCTAGTAATTTTACAAGGTCTTTCATATACATTACATCCTCCTCTTTCCTCTTTTGGCCCATGCCTTCATCCCAGGTTACTCTGGCAAGAGCTTCAACCAAAAGCCCTCTTCTGTCCTTATCCCTTCTCTGCACATTACTTCTAGCTCCAGCTTCATCCACTAAATGTAGAGCTCATCAAGCAACCCTTTTGCTTAGAATTTGACTAACATTTGTCCTGTTTGCCATCTGTAGTGGGTTGAATATTGCCCCCCTCAAATGATATACAAACCTCCTAACCCTAAGAACTTGTTAATGTAACCTTGTGTGGAAAAAGGATCTTTATAGATGTAATTAAGGATCTCCAGACAAGATCATGTTGGATTATATGGGTGGGCCCTAAATCCGATGACAAGTATCCTTATAAGAGACAGAAGAAAAGATACAGACACACAGAGGAGAAGACCGTTTGAAGACAGAAGCAGAGACTGGAGTTCTGCAGCCACAAGCCAAGGAATGCCTGGAGCCACCAGAAGCTGGAAGAAGTGAGAAGGAATTTTCTCCTAAAGCCTCCAGAGGGAGCATGGCCCTGCCAACACCTTGGTGTGGGCAAGGCACCTTTGCCCATGAATTACTTGCTATGTTTTCTCCTTTCTTTTTTTTTCTTTTTTTAAACCCTTTGCTGCGTTGTCTACATTAAAGAGCACACCTGAGACTTAAGTCATGCATCACCTTGAGCATCATTTGTAAAGTAAGAATGTTTGACAAGTTGACCTTTTACTCTCCTTCTAGGTCTCATATATAAGGTATAGAGAAATCCATACATGCAAAAATTTTCCTTGAGCACTTACCAAGTGCTAAACACTGTCCCAAAAGGTGAGACTAAAGCAATGAGACAGATGTGATGCCTTACCACCCGAAGTAGAGTTTTCCTGGGTTGATTCCTGTGCTCTGGATCACCAGGAGGCCCGGAGGGGAGGGGTGAGGAGTGAGAATGTCTAGGTCAGTGACACCGAGAGAGGCAAGAGATAGGTTTGTTTTATTCCTCTTTAGGGTGATTGGATGGGAAGGGTTAAGTTTTTGACATGGTGAATTTGATTTGAAAATGTCCCACACACAATTGGAATGACTGGTTTCAGAAAGGGACCAGAGAAGGTTAAGTATTGTCTGAGACCTTGGATATAGGAGAGGGCAGCCCACATGGCGAAGAAGAACGCAGAGCAGGGGGTCCTGGAAGTCTTGGAGAGTCATACCTCGCCCTGGGCGGTGCACTAGCTCTCGCGCCCACGTGACCAGCTCCCCACCCCCACCCCACCCCACCCCACCGCACCCCACCCCACCGCCGGCTCCACAGAACCCTTTGCCTCCTTCCCCAGGTCCCGCCCCTGTGGGCGGGGCGAGGCAGTCACGCAGCCAAGTCCACCAGGAAGACAGCCAGGTAGGCATTGGCTTGGCCGCCTGGGACCCCCTGGAGGACCTGGGAGGGGCGCCGCTGCCTGGGACGTGGGAGCTGGGAGCCCCTGGGCCTGAGGGAAGCCCGGATGCATCCGCCCAAGGCGCTGAGCGCGGGTGCGGTGGCTGCGGTTGCCGCACTGGTGGCCGCCTGGCTCCTGCTACGACATGAAGACGCGGGGCTGGGGGCGGGCCCCAGGTAACCCCTGCGCTCAGGGGACAGAGCTGGGCCCCTGCACTCTTGGGACGGAAGAAGGGGGGATGGGAACCTGGGGTACCGAGGGGGAACTATGCCTCTTGGTGCCAGCAGTTTGTGGCCCCTTCCGAGGTGTTTGTTTGCACCCCGCCCTGCAGGTGACCTAGCACTTTCCCGGGCCCAGACTGCTGAGAAAAACAGTATCTTACCCCAGAACCAGTAAACATTCCTTGTTCCCCAGGGTGAGCCAGGCCACCCCTCAAGCATCCTAAGATCGGCACCTGTTGATGTTATTTCTGTAGCATGGCTGACACAGAGGCGCTGCCCAGGCTTCGGGAGGACTTCAGGAAGCAGAATAAATCCGTCTTTATTTTGGGCGCCAGCGGGGAAACCGGCAGAATGCTCTTAAAACAAATGCTGGAACAGAGCCTGTTTTCCAAAGTCACAGTCATTGGCCGGAGGAAGCTGACCTTTGATGAGGAAGCTTATAAAAATGTGGTGGGTATTTGAGACTCAAAATGTACGAGCAGTGATTCTTTCACTTGGACATAATTTCATGCTTAACGGTTGAATATTGCCCACCAGTGGTGGAGGCTGGAGAGGTGATCAGTGTGTGGCCCAGCCTGGTCTGTGAGAGCCCTTACTGGGAGCTGGAGTCCTGGATTGTAGGCTCAGGCCTTGGGCAAAGTCCTCGGTCCCCTAAGCCATAGGGCAGGGCCTACATTGTAATGGCGGCTGGGGAGACAGAACAGCCTTGTCATTCAAGCTGGGTTCTGGAGACAGTCCACTTGGCTTGTTCTGTCTCCCTGTCCTCTCCACACTAATGTTGTCAGTAAGTCAGAAAACACTTTGCAGAGCAGAACCAGTTTATGGCAGTGAAAGTGGGGTTCACATAAAAGAATTTGCCCAGCCTGACTTCCAGGGCTGCAGCCTTGTGTCTGTAAGTGGAATATTCCTTCCCTGACTGTCACTTTCACTTTCATGGTTAACCAAACTACACCAGGCTTCAGTCTGGTGCAAGCTCCCTAAATATTTGAAGTCTGAGTTTCATGGAGAGTCCTGAGTTATTTGTGAACGTCAGTAAATTATAGTGAAATCCTGAGACCCCCTAATTATAGAAATTGTTCCCACAGGTTTCACAGGTGGAACATTCCAGATAACAAATGGTCTCACAAATTAAAGGTCTTGACTCCTGCAGGTCCACATTCATTTTGCACATGTCTTTGGTCCATTAGGACTTTTCTGTTTAAAATGGACATCTTTGCAGGCTGTAACACGCAGTCTTCACAGTCTGGCTTCATGGGGTGTGTCAGATACTTCTGGTCATTAAAAACTAAAATCAAGTTCTGTGCTTTAATAGTTTTGGTGACACATCTTTTGGCCAGGCACCTTATGCAAACATGGGTGTTGATTAAAAGTGCAGTTTCTGCCCTGACCAGTTTGGCTCAGTGGTAGAGTGTCAGCCCTCCAACTGAAGGGCGTAGGGTTTAATTCCCAGTCAAGGTTTGATCCCAGGCCCCAGGTGGAGTCATGCAGAAGACAACCAGTTGATGTGTCTGTCTCATGTCGATGTTCCTCTCTCCCTCCCTCTGATCCCCTCTTTCTGGAAATCAGTGGAAGAAGTATCCTCAGGTGAGGGTTAAATAAATAAATAAGTAAATATGCAGTTTCTGACTCAGAAGTATTAATTCGTGTGAGACCTAAGAATGTGCCTTTTCATCAAGCACCTGCTGGCTGATTTTTGTGCAGGTGGTTCATGGATTGGACTGAAGGTAAAATCCTCGTTTACATTTTACTGATGAAAAACTGAGGCATATGATAAAATAACTTGGCCAAAATTACATGTTTAGGAAGTAGTAGGCCCAAGACTCTAACCTAGGTATTTGAGATTTCAAACACCATTCCCTAAGCCCACATTATACTTCATTGGTATCCCTCCTGGTAATATGCAGACGGGTCTTATTTTTCTAGAGAGAAATTCGTAATTGAACCTGACTTTAGAGATCTGGATCACCCCTAGTCCAATTAAGTGTACCATGGCTGTATTAGTGCACTGTTGATTTGGAATCCAGATTAATTGGATTTTGCTGGGAGAAAATGAGCTTGCAAAATTTGATGTTAAGTGGGCAGACTCTTCAGTTATGTTCTATAACTTATTCTTTAAATGTAGAGGGCTGTTTATTTTTTTTTATTTTATTTTATTTTATTTTTTAAAAGGGGCTGGAGAGCACCCGCGGGTCTCGAACCACCCTCGCGGACAAGAGTGGTTAGCGAACTGAAAGTTCGATGTGAAGGAACCGCTGAGCTAAAGCCAGCCTGTAGAGGGCTATTCAAAAAATAATATCAAGTTATATTACAGCTGTGTCCTTGTTACCTAGAATCAAGAAGTTGTGGACTTTGAAAAGCTGGATGACTACGCTTCTGCCTTCCAAGGTCATGATGTTGGATTCTGTTGCCTGGGTACCACCAGGGTAAAAGCTGGGGCGGTAAGAAAGAAATATACCCTTATCCCTTTTCACTGGCCAGTAATGTCAAAGATTCCTTTCTTACTCACTCTTTTTCTTCACGTTTGCTGTGCTTAAATGTAAATAAGCTCTTATCATTGAGATTTCGTATGCTGTTCTAGCCTTTGCTGTACGTCGAATAGCAATGATAAGTTCACCTTTCCTTCAAAGTAATCCTTGAGTTCAGGCCTGTGTGCTGGGACATCATACATATTTACACGGTCTTACAAATATTGCTGTCACTACATCCCCTGGCTAAGGCAACATCAGAGTAAAAGTAACTGGCTCGTGCTGTTAGCAGTAAGCTTTTTTTTCCCTTTATCCTCACCTGAGGACATTTTTGCATTCATCTTCAGATAGAGCGGGAGGGGGAGAGAAAGAGAGCCATCGATGTGAGAGAGACACATTGACTGGCTGCCACCCACACGACCCCAACCTGGGCCAGGGACAAACTGCAACCGAGGTACGTGCCCTTAGCAGGAACCGAACCTGGGTCTCTCTGGACCATGGGCCAATGCTCTAACCACTGAGCAAACTGGCCAGGGCAGCAGTAAACTTTTTAAAATTTCCTTTATAAATGTTTTAAACTTAAGGCATTTTCTCTCACCTGAGTGGTTTTCTTCAACCTATTTTTATGCCAAGCTTGAAACTTCTGGGATAGAACATCAGAACAGCGGCACGATTCAGCTAGTCTCCGCTGATGACTCAGCCTCCAGCGATGATTCAACCCCAGTGGTGATTCAGCCTTAACTGACTCAGAACTGTTCCAGCACACATTTTATTTTCTTTTTAATAGTACTCTAAATTGCATCAGCCCTTATCTAGAAGTTACAGTTTACTACATAGTTAAAAGTCATAGAGTCATAGCTTACTATGTAGATCTTCAGCAAGTGTTAATATATCTTATTTAACTTAAAGATTTGTTTTTTTGCTTTGTTTTGTTTATTTGTTTGTTTTGGTAAATCCTCACCCAAGGATATTTTTCCATTGATTTTTAGATAGAATGGAAGAGAGGGAGGGAGGGGGAGAGAGAGAGAGAGAAGCATCAATGTGAGAGAAACACATTGATTGGTTGTCTCCCACACAACCCCTTCCAGGGCAGAAGATTGAACCTGCAACCCAGTTACCTGCCCTTGATCAGGAATCAAACCCAAGACCTTTTGGTCCCAGGGCTGACAGTATAACTGCTGAGTCAAACCAGCCAGGGCTTAATTTATAGTTTGACTATACTTTATCCCTCTAGCAGAATTTACTTGCTGGACCTAACATGTCTATTAAACATGCAGGACCACAGTGCTGCCATATGGGCTTACCACAGGTTTATAAACAGGTCCATTCATCAGAATCATTAGGAGAACACATGTTTAAGAACTATTGCTGTATAACAACCAAGGAGTTAGCCTTAGTTGCATTTCTTTGAGCCTTCTGGTGCCAAAAATAATTTTATTTATGCTTTCAGTAGGGATCTATTTCCAAATCTTCTGCAGTCTACCATGTCCACTTTGGAATACAGCTGGGTTCTGAGAAGTGTCCCAGGATTTGGCACATTCTCTCTCCGAGAAAGGGTCATGTTTTTCCTCAGTGGCTAGTGCTGTCTTCTTTGTCCCAGTGACAGTCACAAGCGGTGTGTCCTCTAAATGCATTAAAAAAGTTTCTGTCTGAAGTGCCAACCTGATTTTGGTGGTGACTCAGCAAATTTTTTAAAAACCACCGCATTAGGCATAGAGTAGTTGATTTCCATGACATAAGGCAAATCTCATAGGGCACTCTAGGGAAAGTATAAATTGCTTTATTGCACCCAAAGAGTGTAATGCAGTTTTAATCAGAGATATTGGGTGTCTTGACTATTTAGAATATATTTTTAGATGGATTTGGTTCCCCACCTCTCAGGGTATTAATACCTTTTCGTCAAAATCAGTTTGAAAAGAAAAGATAAATGTAATTGATGAGTAAGCAGGAGAAAGACTAGTAAGCCAAAGATAGTCTCAGAAATGAATTAGGGTTTAAATTATTTAAGATGATAGCGACAGAAAGTAAGCTGAGATTTTATAATCCAGGGCCTTGCAAACTACATACTGTGGGCCAAATACGGCCTACCTCTTTTAGTACAGGCCCTGAGCTGAGGGTGTTTTTATACTTTTAAATGGTTAACAAATTCAAAAGAGGAATAATATGTCATGACACATCAAACTATAAGAAATTCAAATTTCAGTATCCATAAAGTTTTATTGGAACATAGCTATTCTCATCACTTTATTATCTATGGCTGCTTTTGCACAATGATGTCAGAGCCATGTAATTGCAACAGAAGCTGCAAATCTGAAAAGATTAACTATCTCACCCTTTACAGAAAAAGGTTGCTGACCCCTGTTGTAACTTCTGTTTTATTTTATGTCTAGGAGGGGACTTGTGAAGTGACAAGGTCCTAGATGGTTTGAAGGACCCAGATCATAGGTTCTGTTTGGATACCAGGTAGCTGTGAGACCTTGGGTGTGTGCTTAGCTCCTGTGGGCCGCTGCCTCCTTGTCTGCACCAAGAGGCAGGTGACCACTGAAGTCCCTTTGACCAACAGAATTCTTTGACTTTTATAACACAGAGAAAAGAATGCCCCAGATGGAAAGCATCTGTGAGAGCATAGAGATTTACTCAGGAGTCCTCAATACCTGTTTGATTTAATTTTCCAGCCAGAGCTCTTCCTCTAACCAAGATCTTGGTTTCACCCCTGTACATCAAACACAGAGATGCCCTCCAGGATACAAACAAATGGGGTGTCAGATTAGAACATTTGTTGTTTGTCAGCATCTCTGTTTCTAGCCTAATTTATAGGGTAGGAGTAAAGGAAAAGAATCTGAAGCAGAAATATGGCTAAGTGGGACACTTTACAGAATGATAGAACTGTCCTTGGAAAAGGATCCCGCCGGCCTTGAGTCATTTTGGCATGCTTGCTTGTCATATCAGTCACTGCTGAAATACCTTACTAGGATGAGTTATTCTTAAGCCAGAGTGTTCTCAGTTTTCAGGCCTTGGTAAAGGAGATTAGAAGAAATGCTTAGTAGCTTTGAACTTGAGTAAAACTTGAATAAAGAGTAATCGGAGAGTTTGTCTCCCTAGATGCTTGTGGAGCCTATGAAGAGATCTCTGACTGAGTCATCTTACATTGTGTTTATTCTTTCAAGTGGGTACTGGGAGAGGAATTTAGAGTGGGAACTTATTTAATCAATTCCTTTTTCTAGAAGGAACTCTGATTCCACCTACTATGAAATTATAAAGACGCAATAATGTAAGGGACTTCATGCTCTCAGAAGAGACATCTCTTCTCCTGCCGTACGGTTAGGGAAACTATAGTTTTTCCAGAAATTGTGTTCCTGGGATATGGAGTAGCTTGTTTTTCTATTTTTTTTTTTTAATTTGAGCTGTTAGAAAATGAGAAAGTATTAATCATAAAATTTTAAAGATAGCTCCTTTCTATCTATAAATGGAATCTTCCTCCCTCCAAAGAAAATTGGTGTGTGTTGGTATCTCTGAGTCAGTCAGCAGGATCCAAGTTTACGCTTGGTTTCTTAGTCCTTGAAAGCCATTGACCCCTTTGCTTTAGAGTTTCATTCACCAGCTAAAAGGGCATGCATCGGGGTGGGGGAAGTGAAATTCAAAATTTGTGGGCTTGAAAAAATGTGTATTTATAATCAGCTTGAGGGCTCAGAGGATTTGTGAAATCGGTTTGGATTAACAGCCATTGATTGCTAATAAAACAATATTTAGCTTTGTCCGGAGAACAGCGGTGGAGAAAGGTATGGGCACCTTGTCAACCGGGCCCATTGAGCAGGGATGATGGGTTAAGCGTGGGGGTCTCCGCAGCAGCGTGGGTGCTCCTCCTTCAAGGAGAGATTGTCAGTTGTTAGCGAGGCTGGTGAAAGGAAGGACGCCAGAGTCTGATGGCTGGGGTGGTATTGATGTGCCTTCGCTGACTAATCAGATTGAAAAAGTCCCATGGTATTTATGTCACTTTAATTTTCATCAAACAATTGGAGCCGACAGCACTCTATTAAGGAGAGATTGATCCAGAACTAAAGCCAAATAAATTAGGGTCTCAGTTTAATCAAATTATCCCTTTACTGGCTGTGGATTAAGTGAGAGAGACAGCGTCGGTCTAGAGACTTGTGATTGGCTGAATCTTTCCCTTATTTTTAAAGAAGCTGATGAAAGAAATGCATTTTAACAGAGACAACTATAATGCACCCTCCAAGAAATAGTGCTAAAACCACAGCCACAATAAAAAGGAACTTATTTCACTAGTCAACTATATCATTTTCTTATAAATAACGAGCCTGTTATTAAAATCAGAGTTCTGGTGAATGGGACTGAGGGGAAGAAATAGACATGGAAGAGAAATTGAGTGTTTTAGAAGGTTTCTGTGTAGTTTAGGGTTGTTTTTCTTGACACACTTTCAGCACATGTAAAATCTCCTTTTGGAGAGTAGCTCTGAGGAGAATCACCTCCCTCACATCCCTCTCTCGGGATGTGCCGAGAATTAAAATTGTTTGCTTCACACTGATTTAAAAGAGCAGCGTAAGTTGAAATCAGTGTGTAGGACAGGTTGGCAAGTCAGGGTAGGATGCCAAAGTCTACAGCACAAAAGGAAATGGTGTTGACTCATTCATTAAGACTTAAGTTTATAGTCCCTAAAGTGAGGCAGACAAATAACACTGCCTGGCACGTAGTGGTTATAGTTCTACTGTGAGCCATGAGAAAGGAGGACGGGAGAGGCTTTTGGGGTAACAGTAATGTTCTGTTTCCTGATTTTAGGAGCTGGGTGCAGAGTAATGTTCAGTTTATGAAAATTCATCAAACTCTATACTTACAATAAGTTTACTTTTTGTTGTTTATCTTCACCTGAGGATATTTTTTCCATTGATTTTTAGAGAGAGTGGAAGAGGGGGAGGTTGTGGGGGGGAGAGAAACATTGATGTGACAGACATATTGAG